TAAAGTAGACATTCTTTTGTAAAGCCCAAATAAAACTTACTAAACTATCCCAGTGAATCCTGCCTGACCAGGAATCATTATGTAGCCCAGGATCAATTCACAACATGCTCTAAACAGAAGGTCATGGGGAAGTGCTGTCAGCAGAAGTGCACAGGTATAAGCACTGGCATCTTAAAACTGGCAGAAAGTAGCAAGAAAGGGAAGAGAGAATCATTGTGTGTATTTTGCCTGGCTCAAAGATGAAACACAGAAAATGAGTTGGCCAAGGGATAGAACATGATTTCCCACCCTTTTTATTTAGGCTGTTTCTGTTTTTATTTTTAAAATGGTTACTTTTACAAAAGAAAGTAAGAGTTCACTCTAAGAGCTCAGCTATGTATCTACAACACCATAAAGACTGGCAAATAAATGTGAAAACAGATTTTTATCTTTAAAATTTTCTTAATATATTTTAATATCACCTTAGCTATCAGATATAGATTGGAGTATTGAAGAATGATATCTGAAAACAAAATTTATATGGTATGTTTGGAATTAAATATTTAGTTGTAAGAAGAATAGTATTTGAGTCACTAAAGGATATTTATTGAGGACTTTCTCTAAATCCAATGCTCCATCAATAATTTCTATTGATTAGGAAAAAAACCATGTGACACCGACATGCATTTGGAACAGTTTGTAGTCTACCAGTGTAGACAAGTTTATCACATAGACTTAAAACTCCTGGAGAACAATTCAGTCTCTCCTTTTGGTGTGAAGTAAAAGTAGAAAAAAGTATTTAGGAAAAGAAAATACTAGTGTCAAAGAAAATTTCAAAGAAGATATGGAATTGGGTCCCTGATTTATAGTAAGAATATAAAGAGTGCACTGGGGGAGTGGGGTGAGTAAAGTAAGGGCCAAAAAAACAGTCTTACCAAGGAATTGCCAGCTGACACACACAGCTACCACAGAGTGAGTGTATGTGGAGTAAGTAGTTCGATCTAGGGCTTAGGTTTGGGTCTGAGTTTTGAGGAACTGAAAACCAAATTGAGTTTGGAGGTATTGAGGTTAGCAGAATCATTATAGGTTGCTAAAGTAAGCATATGATAACAAATTAGTATTTTTGGAAGATCTTCCTGGAGGTGGTATGGAGGCTGCAATAGAGAAAAAGTACCTTCTGTCAGGGAGATAAGCCAAGAGATTCTGACTCGAATCTAGTCAAGAGGTGCTAAGAGCTTGTGCTAGGGTTGTGAATGTGGAGACAAAAACTCAAGAATTGAGACAGATATTTAAAGGAAGAAATATCAAGGCTCAGTGATAGGTGGTAAAAGTGAGCGAGAGGTAAAATACAGGAGTAGAGGGAATTTAGTCCTAACTCGTTTTCCAATGACTAGAGGCCTGATCCATCACATCTGACTGGATGAATGAGAGCAGTCAGAGCTGCTCTTCCTGAACAGTCAATCAGCGCGACTGGGCCATAGGATCCACAGCCTTCTGAGTGCTTTCAGGATGTGCAGGTGCTGTTCTAAGGCAGACTGGGCCCTTACAGGTCCCTCCAGAGGTGACAGACAGAGGGCATGAGACATATTCAGCAAGTGCCCTCTGGATGCCAGGGTTGGTTTTAACAGCACCTGTGTGATATTTCGCCTCACTCACTGTGTGACTTACTGAGCATGTACTAGATACGGAGTTCTTTCATAAACCCTTCTACATGGATTTTTTTTTACCTCTTTAATCTTGATAACATCCCTATCACAAAGTGATCATTAACTCCTTTTTATAAAGTCAAAGATTGGTCAATACTAATTATATATGTGACCCAAAATGACAAAATTAGTAACTGACAGAGATCATTTTAGAAATCTGGTTGACCTGACTTATACTATTAAGTGATTTTCAAAAATCATTAATAAAAAGGAAGTCAGGGCTTTTGGAAATACCTCAAAATTAAATCATCCTTCATTCTTTCTGGTTCCCTCTATGAGGAGTGCCCTGGGAACCTATGTAAGAGGCCTTTTTAAGCTCCATCTCAATAATGTCCCTGCCCATCGCTCTCTTAATAACTGTGAGAACTCTTTTTACATCATGACACTTTATGGAAATTATAAGGACGAAGCAAGTAGATTTAGTTGTTTAGAAGTAATCAGAAGTAGTAGGTACTCAAGTGCAGATCAGCTTTATACTAAAATTTTCAAACAATGGCCCAACCAAAAATTATGATTACTATTAAATACATAAGGGTTCTGAAATAAATATATTGTGTTAACTAGGCAAGAAAATCATTAAATTAATGAAAATGTTCCAACAACTTTTTAAAATTAAAATTCTAAAAGTATCCAAAGTCTGAAGTCTGAATTTACTTTTGAGAAGGCTATATATTCTTTCGTATATGCTAACTTCCTTTTAATTGTGCAAGTCTTGCTTAAGAAAATACCTGAGGGCCAGGGATTTAGCTCAGCAGCATAGCACCTTCCTGGCAAGCATGAAGTCCTGAGTTGATCTCCCATATCAAAAAGAAAAAAAAAAAAGAAAGGAAACTTTGAGACTACGGGAACCCTGGAACTCATATGAGTTCCAGCTGCGATAGGCCAGAAGACTCAGAACTTGCAAGAGTTTAATAGGAAGGGAGCTGTTTTGATTTTTTTCCTAACTCTAAATAAATTCCCTCAAACCGCCCAGATGGGTCTTATTTTCCTGAATAAAATTCAGGGATTAATTGATTTAGAGCTTGGATCTAAAGATGTTGACAATTTATGTTGTGCTCTGCTATAAGGATGAAGAGAATCATCTTCTTGTATTTATTTATCTTTACTGTAAGAATAAAGTGTTAGGAACATATTGACAGAACTGATTTAGGACATGAAATCCTTACATTTTAAAAACAGTTTATTGGTAACACCTTCATTTTATCGTAAAATGAAAGGCATCATCCCTTGCAAGGGGAAGGCAAGCACTGACTAAAGATAAAAGTGTAATTCATGAAGGACAGGGCTAGATAAAGATTATGAAGCCACAAATCGAAGAAAGCATTAAAACAAACAAAAAAGAGAATAAGGAAAACAAATTGGCATATAAACAAGAAAACATTTTAAAATGCAAAGTACCAATAGGAGACCACTAACAATGATAACCTGGGGGAAGAAAGATCCTACAGAAGGGGCAGGGTGGAAGATGCACTCAGGGAGATTAAATAGGGAGTGCAGGAGAAAACTCCGATAAAACAATCCAAAATCTTCAAAAGTTTCTGTATTTAGTGTGGCAGCAATCCAATTTTTAGTGTTCAAGCTTCTCATACATTTAAAATATTGCTTTTACTTAAGAAATTAAAAAAAGATATTATAAAATTAAGGCATCATTTAAAATTTATTTTTAAAAGGAACATTATTTGAAATACAATGATAAAATTTATTCTGATATTCTCTAATTTCAGTTTATTTTAACATTAAGATATAATCAATTCTACAATAAAAACAAGAGGAACAGTCTCCTACACGATCTGAAACAAAACTCTATGTTTGTAGATATGTAGCAAAAAAATTAATTTTAATGTACATGATTTTTTTAAAAAATAAAACTATCATCTTCTTAAAAGTGAGAACTCAATACAAGTAATTCATGTGTTCGATTTAAATCATTAGGCATTTTATTATAATAACCAACATTAAAAAAAAAGTGTTTTTCATAATTGAGAAGTTTTCAAAATGTAAATGCAATGTAACTGGGTAATAGCTGAAAATGATTGAAGAAAGTATGTTCATTTTTTTAAAAATGTACTTAATTATATTTTTGAAATGTAAGTCATAGATTGTTTTTCTCATTATGCTGTGTGTGTGTGTGTGTGTGTGTGTGTGTGTGTGTGTTTATAAGAATATTGTTTAATCAGTGGGTTGGGGATAGGGATTTGGACACTGCAGAGAAATTTATTTCCTTAACTGACTCAGTGACCCCTACTGTTTTACTCTGCCAAAGGAAGAGAATTAGTCCTAGAAAAGGAGTATTGAATCACTATGATGGGGAAAAAATAGAAAAATTCCAGTCTCATAAGTGTTTTTATACTCTATTAAGAAAAACAGGTACTCTAGAAAATATAAATTCTAATTAATTTCCAGAAATTAAAAATAAAACATTAGAGGTTCCATATATCAGTTTTATTCCAAAAAAAATATTTGAAGCTGGTTTCAGCAATCATCGAAACCAGGTAGAGTCCTAAAGTTTCTCAAGAAAGACCAATGTTTCTTAATTGTCAGTACTACTAATGATTAGTATTTGCATCTAAATCTCTTTTCCTCCTATTTAAGATTCAAATGAATGAGAAAGCCTACAACATGTTGGGAAACAGGGTAAAATGAATTCTTAGGAGCAGCAAGACCTAAAATATGGACCTCTTCCTTTTTTACCTCATCATGTCGCCAAGGACAATTTGCTTAACTTTATTTTTTTGGTTTTTTTGGTACCGGGGATCAAACTCGGGTCCTTGCGCTTGGGCAGCAGGCAGCAAAACCACTGAGCTAAATCCCCGGCCCTAATTTATTCTTAATTTTACTATATATTTAAATTTTTGGGACACCTCATTCATTTTTGCTACCACTTGTTTATCCATAGAACCTGGATTAAAATAAATTTACCATCTATAAAAAAGGAAAACACTTCTAAAATAAAGTTGTTAAGTACAGGCAAAGTCGAGCTCTACCCAGCCAGTATCTATTTTTATTGCCTACCTCTAACCTCGGTCTCCATTTGCTTTCCTGAGAACCTCTACAGTTCCATGGAACACAGTTTGAAAACCATATGATACCATGAACTGTAAGCTTGTCATCAGTTCTAAAATTCTGGATTCTTTGAAGACAAATCTGACCTGGACCTGATCCCATTGGAAACCTGAGGTAAAAAGAAGCTTCCATGGTTTTATGTTAATTTATTCCAAAGTTAAAGCAGCACTTCCAGATTCAGCTATCAGAGAGGATTGGATGGCAGCCTTCTCTGTGACTGGAAGCTAGGATTTGCTTTCCATGATTACTCACTGTGAGCTGACACCAGACACAATGCAGTCCTGTCAGGCCCTGGTAACATTTTACTGTTTTGTGGCACTTGTCACACTTGGTTGGGCAGTTGCCTTCAACCCAGTAATGGTGCATGACCTAGAACAGAAAAACAGCATGTAGGTAAGAAGAAGCATCCATAATTGCCACCCACAGCAAGCAAAGTCACAAAACTTACTTCAGTGTTCTTTTTGGACTTCACATAGGTCTTGATGCAAGAGGGAGGCGCTCTAGCCACACAACGCTCATGGACTGTGTACTTGCAGACTGAAAGAAAACAGGTACACAAATACAGAGCTAATCCTGGTCCTGATTGCAATTTTATAGGGAAAGAATGACATTAAGAGAGCCTCATTTCATATCCACTGCTCCTTAATCAATCCAATCAGCCACATCAAGGAAAAGTCCAAGTCGACTGTTTTTACCATGGAGTACAAAAGGCCAATTAGTACAGGAAATATTATGCATGTGAAAAACCAAGACTCCTCTATCATGGCATAGCAGGAAATGCTTAATTAAATCAATCCTCAGTCAAATTTTTCACAATAATTTCCAGATGACAAAAATATTAAAGACAAATTGATGACTGCCAAATGGCTTGGTGTCATTGCTAGAGGGAAGAGATCTATATTTTACAAAGTATAGGCATGACAGCAGCTGCTGAGCATGGGAGTAAAAGCCTATGGGTTTATAGTATTTTGTCTATTGATTTATCTAAACCTTAAATGGCTGATTATTCTATTTCTAGAGGAAAGATTTCATCATACATGGCAGGGTTTTAGTAAAACTTCATGCTTCCCTTGACATCATAGGATCGTTTACCCTCCAAAATAATCTTCACTAGGCATCATATGGTATGAATGAGCAAAACATTTTGTTTATGTGCAAACATGTATATATAAACATATATGAGCAAATATATGTATGTGTGTATATGCATAATATGTTATAAATCTAACATATATAATTTTGGTATATTCACATTGGGATTGAATCTGAATAAAATCAGAGTAATACACATGCATTATTTTAACAAAATCCTCATTCTAAATGAGTTCTAAATGCATGAATTTGTAGAATATTAAAAAGAACAGGTAGTCCATACAATAAAAATGGAAACAAAACTAATCACTTCCTAAAAACTGAATGAAAAATATTAAATTCACATAATATTTATGTAGCAAAACTCTTCCAAAATATTCATATCTGTGATTTTTATTTCCAAAACTAAGGAAGAAAGCATAATTTCTCTACTCTCTATGAGCAATAACTTACAAATATTGTCTTTATTACATTAGTAAGTATAAAAGAAATCGTGAGCAAAATTCTCAGTAAGCACAACTCACCGTATTTGAGAGTTTTCCATATGCTTCTATCAATAAGATCTACCATAAAATATTATTTTCTTTAAAATCATGGAAATTTCAAAACAAAGCATTTCCTCTGTGCACGGAGAATGTTCTGGTGTAACTAATGGTCCTCAGAAACTGTCTTACAATGAGTTAAGTGGTAAATTTCATACAACTTTATTAAAATCCCAAAACACTTAAGAAGTTATGTGGATATATAATACTGAGACATACTTTTTCTGTCAAATAATGTATCTGAAGATAAATTCACAAACATAGTATTAAAGAAGCATGTAGCATTGATGAAAATCTTGTATGGAAGCGTGATTTAAAACATTAGATTTAATTATATGCATAAAATATTACATAGATGATAAACTCGAGTTTCAGTAACTCTGTACACAGTAGAAATGGGTGTGGATAATTAAACTGCTGTATTAAGGGACAATTTCATCTGTAAGAGAAGAGAGGATGGTATCTACTCTGACTTAACAGGAATGTCAGGGAATATAAAATCCTCTCAGGTAAAACTATAATAGATTTAAAAATACATAGGTGATTTTGTAAATAATCTCATATACCCTCTTAGCAAATCCTAAGTGGCAGAAGTAAATTAATGGTATAAAACTTGAGAAGATCAGTAAAATGAAATTAAATAGATGAGCACAACACTTGAACCAGCGATGCTTTGGATTCCAATATCCATAACCATGTATTTTCTTTATGATAGCATGAGAATAATGTATTTCAGTTATGAAATTTCTTAATTTCAAAGCAATTCTATTTTAAATCAATTGTTGTGACTTTTTACTAAGGCCTAAAGGAACTGACTCAGACCATATGAATAAAGTTGATAACTTAGAGAAAGAGAATAGCCATGAAAAAGTTATGCATGTGCAAAATTAGAGGACATTTTCAAAATAATTCCAGAAGAAATGGGAATCATAAATAAATTTAACAATAGTAAAAAGAAGAGAACTAAAAAACTAGAAAATGTCCTTCGTTCTTTATCCAAGGATGACTTTCCCAAATTAAAGAAATGTAAAACTCAGGTGAACTAAATAGTCAGAAAAATAAACCAAAACCAACAATCATAGGAATAGGCAGGGTCAGATTATTTCCCAGCTCTCTATCTATAAGCAGGATCAGCCCATGCAGCAGCCTTTGTCCAAGTGAGCCTAATGAAGACACCAGGCAGAGCGAACATACTCACAAGAGCAGGACAGGCCCTGTTTTCCCACGCCAATCAGCATGTTCAGGCAGAGATTGCAGTAGGCAGGTTTGTTAAAGTGCTTGAGTCGCCACACATGCTGTCCATCATCCTTCACATTCTGCACGGGGCGAAAAAGAAACAGATTTCACTTAATGAAATAAACAGTAGGATATGGAGGTGCCAATAAAATTTAGAGCTGGACTGCAGCATTTGAAGACAATCTGTTATTTCATCTCTGACTTTCTCCAAGTTCGCCACCGCCACTGAGTCTTTAGAAAAACACATGTGCTCTTGTGGAATGAGAGACTGCTAACAAATATCTGATGCTACAGTAACCCACAAATTCTTGTCTAATGTCAACAGTTCAACAGTACACCCAAACCATCATTATAACTTGCCAAACAGAGCACTCCCTAAGAACAAGGATGTGCCTGCATTGCTTTTCCATACTTTATCCTTAGAATAATTCCACAAATAAATAAATGAGAAAGATACAGAAAATACTCTTCACTGGGAGAGCCTGAGAGATGAACATTTGCAAAGACTATGTCAACCCTTAGTTGGTAGCAAATTATGGAAAAGTTGCGATGGTAGTTATTCATGTAGGACAGCTGAGGAATGGATAGGATCTGATGGGAAAAGCAACATAAGTAAGATATGTTGATATTCTGGGACTTCAACTATGGGTTCCTAATGTGTTGCAATTTAGTATAACATATTCTCTGTCTCATATAAGAAATTTTAGTAGACAAAATAAGGGCTTAGCTACATTATCATTTTGTTTATTCATCTTTTGTAAAATAGGGATGATTTTACTCTTATGGAAAGATGGTAAAATATTAAAACTTTATTAATACATTTGGAAAAAATCACTATTGTTATTTCCCACAAATTAAACCTTGAGTTTATATTAACTAAAATATAATAATTATTATTTATGATGCTATCATTATAAAATATTATAGCTACTTCTCTAATTTGTTTAATGACAGAAGCATTGTTCAAGATAAAAATAACATGAAATTGGGCCAGGGATTTAGCTCAGTGGTGCTGCTGCCTGCCTCTCAAGCACAAGGTCTCGAGTTCTGTCCCTGGTACCAAAAAAAAAAAAAAGAAAGAAAGAAAGAAAGAAAGAAAGAAAGAAAGAAAGAAAAACTTGAAATAATATGATGCTAATGAACCTTGAACTCCTTAAAAGAAGGTGGAAATACTGAATGAAGTTACTTCAGTTAATATCATTTTCTCCATTAAAATACACTCTTTTTACTCTCTTCACTAATTTATCTGAAACCTACATTAACTTCAGATGTCACTATTGACATCACTATAGCACATATATATATATATACATACATATATATATAGTTGTTTTTAACAAAACGTCATATTTCTTAGAATACATTCACTGACTAATTTTTGAGCACCTACTATGTTCTGGGGAACTGATACTAATTATGTAGTAATAGAATAATATAAATATGCTGAGATCATCTTGTTTATCTTGATCATAAAATATTAATAATAATGCCCCAACCATATTTTTTTATTCTCAGTCAAGAGATAAGCCACTAGATTTGAAATAGCAAAGAAAATCTATAATAACTAATTCTTACATTAGAATCAGAAATGTCAAGTTTGCATCATAATATGAAACATTAATGAAAATGCCTCCTGGGAGATAATACTCCATGGGTCTCTTGAGTTTCTGCTAGTGTGTTTTGCTAGCAGAGGCACTTTTTTCAGACAATCTTTCAAAGGTACTTGAATCATACAGTCTTGGACAATAGAGACGTGTCTCCCCCAAGGGAAGAGGGTGGGTTTATTAATTGTCCAAAGGTTCAACAGGTTTCTATTGAGCACACTGTAAGAGATTTAGTTTCTCTGAACCCGTTTCTAAGCTCTAATGCTGCATTGCACTGACTTGGGTCACGTGTGTCATCCATTCCCATGAGACTTAGGGAGAAAGGCAAAGTGACTCCAATATGAAGCTCCTGCTGCTTGCTTTGAATAATTCACTCATTGTCTCTGATCCAGGAATTTCATGTCTTGTGCTGGTAGTCAGGATACTGTAAAAACTATTCACCTATAAGTGGGGTGAATTTCAGACATTTTACAAATATCAAAAATACTCATGTTTATTTTTCTGACGGGCTCACAAAATCTCATCAAAAGCAGCCATGCTGAAGGTTTCATGGAGAGAACTTCAACATGTAGCTGGTTCCATTTTCTTCTAAAACCTAAGAAAAAATGCTTTGTAGTAATTTCTGAATTCATTCTGGTTTGGACGAGTCATAAAATTCATAGCAGCTATGCAATGTGTACAGAATATATGTTTAACATTGCTATATTTTGCAAACATTCTGTATTTACAAATTTTTTTACACTAAAATACTAAATATCTAATGGCAAAAATTTAAATATAAGGCCATTAATTTAAAAAAATAAACTAATAAACAGTTGAGAGAAAGGCTATTTAAAAATATTTTAACTAAAGGGAGAAATGAGAAACATTTTAATTTCCTCTGCATTACTGTTCTATATTCCTTGTCATTTTATTTTTAAATGATTGTCCATTCCATGTGAATCAGCCTCATCCTGTTGCAGAGCACATATGGACTAAGTTATCTGGCATTTTCCTTATCAAAAAATAAGCACGGCTGAATGTGGGTGTTCTGTCAATCAGAACACTTAGCCATGTTACAGGCTGCAGCTGATGTACAAAGTCATTACCCAGGCATACAATGCTTCACCAAAACACAAATTAAATAGCTTTATAGCTCTTAGCCGGATGCATTGCCAAAATATGCAAGGGATGAAATATGTATGTGACTTCTTTAAGAGAAGAAATTGATACCAGGAACCAACTACTTCTCAGCAGTGCAAATTATACTCCAACTCTCTGTATTTTCATGCCTTGTCTTGTTTGTCTTATTGAGATTGTAAACTTAGTGGGAAAGAGAGAGAATCTGTCTCTTTTTATATTCTATCAGCCAGTACAGCATATTTCTATTAGTACTTCGGTTGCAAATAAATATTTATTGCCAAGAAAGTAATTCATTTTTATTAAAAAAAAATGAAGAGAGAATCCAAAGAGCTTGGTTCCTGGCCTAGGATGAAAATTATGAATAAACCATTTCACCTCTCTTCTTATTTTACTCTCTAATAAAATGGAAGTAACCACTTTCCTTCCCCAGGCCAAGGTGTGAGGTTTCATTATACAATACCTGTGAAGTTAATTTAGCTCCTCAGCAGACTGGTGTTATATAAATAGAAAATATTATTAGCACGAGTGGGTTGAGTTGCATAATATCCCAAAGTTTCAGCCAAAGGAATTCAGAAAGATATTTGTAGGTTCACTATACTTTCTCACAAAATTCGCTTTTGTGTGTGTGTCATTGCCAGACATAACACCATGCTTTACAATGGTGCAGCTCAATTCTGGGCTCACAAGAGAAGGGAAAACTGTAATGAACCCTGGGCTAGTCCTTGCTGAGAAGCAGCTTTACATTCTTCAGTTCATTTCCCGAAAACCCAAAAGGATGTTTCCATAGGAAGAATGCCCACTGGGACTTTTTGGAACCGTTTCACCATCTTAGCAATTTGTAAAGTTTTAGATTTTTCCTAAATACTTTTAAGATCATATATAATGTTCAAGTGAACTAGAGCTAATACAAATAATATTTTCCCCAAAGACTTCAAGGAGAAATGACTATAATCTCTCGGCCCAAGTCCTATCAGCCCTGTTTCAACCGTCTTAACATGGGACATACAGCATAGCTAATGTTGCAAATTACTCCAACTCATTAAATAATAAAGACCAGTAAATGTCATTACTATTTTGTTGAAGGATTTAAAAATACATGTTAATATAAAACAAACTGTGGTTTGAGACAAAAAATGAGCTCTCTTGCAACCAGACAATACAGGGAGAAGTACTAACATTCAGGGTTGTCTTGCAAACAATTGGTATTATTCAGACAGGATTTCTGGGTTCAGGATGGGCCCCTGCCATTCCTATGGTTCAGATGTAAACTCAACAGTACGAAAGACCACACAGTCACTTTCTTTGAATGACCTAAACCGAAATCTCGAAAATTATCACGTCTTTCATGTTTTGCAACTTCATTTTAGATTGAGCAATGTTTAGAGAACAGAACAACAAACCATAACACAATTAAATTTTTAAAAATTGGAGTGTGAAATACCATTTTTCCAATTTAGTTAATTAAAAAACACATCATCTTCTAAAGTCTATCACTCATACATTTCATCAAGAACACAAGACATTGCCCTTTTTTGAGTCAAGTTAAAAAAAAAAAGTGCCCTGAATCATCTCAAAGGCCAAGTTTATGATCCATGTTATGATTAACGGCTGAGATTCTTTTGTATACATGGTATAAGAGGAAAATATCCCACTGAAATCAATACAGGTTTGAGGTAAACTTACAATCCACAATCAGCAAGTTAGGGTACCTTTACTTCAAGGGTAGTTTAATGTGTGCAATGCTTGAATCTATTCCATATGTTTAATATGTACTTCTAATTTATGATGGTATGTATTGAGAAATTTCCCTGGAATAATTTAGTGAAGATTTGAGATTATAAGTTTCAGGGAGTGAAGCACTATTGATTATTTTGTTCAACTGGAAAAAGGAATATTAGAACTAGAAGAGTATTGAAAAAAAAAGTCAGGTCTTTAGCTATTTTTCTTTTCTGGGGAGGATACCTCTTCTGCACAATATAGCCCAGTTACTTGACAGCAGAACTAGGTAAAGGTCAATTTGATGAAGTCCATTGCTTCTCTGCTATCTCTCCATCAGTCCCCGTATCTTGGTGTGGTTTTGCTCTGCTAAGAGGTGTTAGGTGTGTTTTTTCTGAATGAATAAACATGAATTAAAACTCCTTCTGTTTGTAATATGACAAACTAGTGACAGAACAGATCAGTGATTGGGAATATGTGACATTGGGTCAAATCTTTCTAGAAACCTGTTTTGGCAAATAAAATTTTACTGTAACAGAGCTGTGATAGTTCATTTGCACAATAACTGATACAGCTTTGTGCTCTAGCAGCAGATCTGAGCAGTTGTGAGAGAGACCTTATGCCCCAAAGCTTAAACTGCTTAATATCTGTCCCTTTTAGATGCCAATCACTAAAGCAGATAATTATTAACAAAGAAAAATGTTTTTCCTTTGATGACACTTAAAAATTATTCAATGGTATGAATGCTGAGGAATGGCTGAACAGTCTCAGGTATGCATTTTTTTATAGTGGTAATCAAAATCTCAAAACTATCCAAACTCTCAATTTTCCTTCACATGTACAGACATCAAGATCTTGTATGATTTCTTTATCTTGATTTTTGTGAGGCTTACAGAAGCCTTTGTAAGAGAAAAGAAATGACTCCTGCTGTCTACTATTTGGCATAGAATCAGGTCCAAATGAACTACATTTCTGAGTTCTGGTAGCAAAACATATCATTTAAAGTAAAGTGGCATTTACAGTTCTATTGATGAAGAAAAATAAACTACAATGAAACCATAACTTAGAATTGAGGCCAGCTCTCCCAGGGTGACTCGCCTAACTGTATAATTTGGTTACTCTCACAGTTCTTTCAAAGACACTGTGGTGCTTAGCATTCACTCTCAATTATAATCTACTCCTCAGGCTCAGAAATAACAGACAAGAATATGTAGGATGACATAGCAAGGCAGGATTCACAACTAATGGCCAACTTCAAGCTCAAGCTTCTAGAATTCCATTCAATAATCAAAAAGTAAGATGGGAAGTGGGAGGTATGGTACTCTGGATCAAATCATAGGTAATAACATAACACATTAGCTGTCTACTGAAAGTAAATAAATCTCAATTACCAAAAAAAGGCTGTCATCACTCAACTGTCTTAGTGTCACTCTTGCTACTTGAAATATGTGCCATGCCTTAGATTTAAAAAGCTGTTTCTTCTAGCAAATACATGCTCTGTTTTATGATCATTACACGTGATTACAGGGTTTACTATTTTATTAAGAGCAAATTTTAAACATAGTCGCCTTACGTTTTAAGAGATGTAAAAAAAAAAATTTCCTCCCCCTCCCCTCGAATTGTTCTTTACATGTAAAAAATGCTTATTCTTAAATTGCCCTCTTACGTTAAGCAATGTAGCCCTGCCATCTAGTGGGAACAATAGGGAACGCAGTTCTGGAACACAGGTCTCATACTACAAATCCTAACAGATTTTCCCCGTTTCAATCTTTTTGGACTAAAAACACAAAATATTAATTTATAAGTAAATTTTAAAGTCAATTAACCAAGTGAACATTAAAGGAAAAGAATTTTCATTTGATTAAAAGTACCGTTACGGTAGAAACTAATAAGGTCCATATTATATTTGTTTAAAATAGTTCGAGTTACATTTATGTAGCTTTGTGAACTGTATTAGCCATCCGTTCTAAACAATAATATCCAAGGAAAAACACCATTTCAAAACACATGTGATATTTAACATACAGGTGAATAAGTTCACCTTTTCACCTTCGTCTGCCTCACTTTCAACTAGGAAAGATTTTATCTACACATTTTTACAATACAGCACCTTCATTCATAAGATAATTTCTGGTAGCACAGGGAATATACAAGTTGCAGCTTTAAAATATAAAATTAACTTGTTGGGAATCATTAGTGAAATTTCAAGAATGGAGTCATTTCCCTATTTTCAGCACAAAGAATACACTAAATTCAAAATGGTGCTATTTTGTTAATTTTTCTTTTGTTTTCTCTTAGTCATCTGAATTACATGGTACTTTCATCATAAGGTATACTAAACAATTAAATATTTAGAATATAGAAATATAGAATAAGTTATTTTAAAAAGATGCTTTATTATATGTAGTGTACAAATATAGCATATGAAGAAATACTGTTTAATTATCAAAGTACAAAAATATGTATTTATGACCAAGAAGTTCTACATTCATTATCTATTTTAATATGTAGTGCCTACTAGCATTTTTTTAAAAATTTCTTTTCTCTAGCCATGACTAAAATCTCTTGGGTCTTATAAAAAGCAAGGCAAAAGTAATAGTAAAATATTTGAAGCTCCAGATATAAAAGAAATAAACGCTGAACCCTATTAATTTCCACATACAAAAGAAATAATATTCTGAAGCCCACTAATTGATTATTATATTCAAATGTGTTCCTGAACCCTAAGCCCACTTGTATGTTCCTAAATCCATAGGCTCATATTTGTACACATGCTCACGTATTTTACAAATGCAGACTGTAAGATGGCTTGTAAGAGCTGACTTTTTAAAGTCCGTGCATTGAATAATTGTGGTATCATCTTCAATCTGCAAAATTTGTTTTCTTGGTAACAGGAATCATCAGAAATGTTCAGGTACACAATAAAGTGATGAACACTATATTCTTGCCTCTCAGAACCTTAAATATTGTAAATTTTATGGAGCCTTTCACCCCTAATATTCTTTGACTGTAAGTAAATGTGTTACTATGTACATATTAGAGTTAATTCTTATTCAGCAAGTGATACTAAGTACAAAATTTAGCACTGACTGTTGATGTCATCAGGTTTTTAAATTAATTACTGAAATTTACTTCAGGGATGGGTTAGCAAGACTTGCTTTCAAAGTCATTATTATTTCACATTATGATCTTAGCTTCATCTGTTTTATCCCCCCAAATCACTATTTAGTTACCAATGCAATTGGCATTAGGTTAAAAATACAATACATTTTTACATAAGAGAAATTTTCTATAAAAGATTTTTTATAAAAGAATTACATAAAAGAAAATTATATATTTAAGAAAGAAAAGAAATAATTTTTATAAAATAAATTTATATAAAATTTATATAAAAGAATTATAGAAAATATATCCTTTCAAACACTCAGACATAAAATTACTTCTTTCAATTATTGGGTATCAATAAACTAGATGACATTGATGGAAGAGATATATGGAATGGGATCACAAGAACCATATGATACAATAATATTAGTGAGTTTCTTGCCTTAGATGATATATGAGTAGGTCAATAATTTTCCAAAAGTAGATTGCACTTTAAATAGAAAAAACAAGAGAGGAAATATATATACAAACTTCAGATATTACTTTAAAATGAATCAATATGTTTGTGGCAATTATTACCACACAAGTAGTTACTGTTAAACATCACCTTGGTATATGTTTTAGAAGTTCCAGGCAATTACTACATGCTTAGTGATAGAAAATGGCCAGATCAATTTGTAATCAAAAGGTGTAATAGAGAACCTCATTGTGTAAATGCTTACATTTTCTAAGCCCAAAAGTACAAGAAGTGGGATTGTTGTCATTCCTCCTTGAATCCACTCCTCCAAAGACACCGTTCCATCATGATCATAGTCAATTTCTTCCATCATTTCATGAAGGATCTGGAGAAGAGGATATGAGAGGAAACTTGCAAAGAATCAATAAAATAAATTTCTTGCAATGTAACTAGACATTACATTGAATTACACAAGTTGTGACCAGTAGCTAAGTGGAGAGTTGGCATACATAATTTGGTTACTTAATACAGCATTAATCCTATTACTGAGAGAATAGTGACTGTTATAATTTCTACAACTTGACTATCAACACCAATCAACTCCGAGAAATAAGTGCTTAAATTTTTAATATTTTTCCAATGAACAGCAAGGGTGAAAGTGGTCTTTAATTACTTTCTAGAGTTTTTCTTTTTTTTAGGTTCATATATATGCCAGAAAATGCCTGAACAAATTAACTTCATGGCAAAGAGCTCAAATAACTCTTTGCTAAGTAGTAAAGAGTGAGGGAATTAAGTTGCTTTTAATTGCCTATCAGAACTTAATAAAGCCAAAAGTTTAAATGATCTAATCATATTTGATTAGACTTCCTTTCTAAAGATGATTTGCACATAATATTCCAAAATGTTCTCCACGGTGTTGTAACACTTTTACCTCTATGGATTGATGATAATAATATCAGGACTTACTTCAAAGGCCTGCTATGAGAATTAAATGAGTTTAGGTTTTATAAATAGGAGACACCTTGGCATATATAATAAGCACATACAGAGTATTATCTGTGTTATTATTATTACAGATTTTATAAGGATTCCAACCACATGACCCTTGGCTGCTTGAAAAGGGAAAAAATTGCATATCTATAACTGCAATTTTGGTAAAAACTCCAATAAAGAAGGGAATTAATTGTTTTTAGATAACAGGAATTGTTAAAGGTGAAAAAGAAAGAAAGAAGGTTAATAAAAAGATAAAAAGAGTTTCAATAAAAGAAATACATTATCTCCTAGTAGAAACATTATTTTGCCCAAATATTTCTCTGCTGGTTGCTTGGTGTCTTTCATCACCAAGTATTTAAAAATCAGGTATTGTCTTTCAGAACAACACACTGATCTATAAGTATCAGGAAGGGGACTTTTAAGAGTAAAATGATGCAGTAATAATTGTTTCATAATTAAATAAAAGAAAATATTTATAATTTGATAAAAGGACATAAGGTCCAGTTAAAATCCTCTGCCTCCTGGGGGCATGGTGCCAAATTAGTGGAAAATGAATAAATGAGATGAAAACTAGAACACAGAGCACCTGTTGCGGGTGGCTGATGCTTTCATTTTATTCTTAATGAATCTAATGTTGCAGCCTGGGTTAGGTTGATAAAAACTCCTTCCAAGGACATTGCATCTTTCCCTAATATGTGAGATCAGTATCAAATATTCTCTTCTCTTTATTCATATATGCAGAGTTAATAAGAGTCAGCAAATGTGTATATTTGTCTCAAAAGAAGAGAGCTACTGAAGCATTCAAGCTGAGGCAGCTACTGTGACTGTAAACACAGTGTTGGAGGTAAAGCTTTTATCTTGATTTTCCACAATTTAAACTATTCAGACTGGAAATGGATGTATCAGGAACACACATGACAAATAATGCAACAAGCATTGTTTGTATTTTCCAGAAGGTCCTCCTCATATCTGGGCTTATATCTCTTGTGATCAAAAATAATTTTTGCCAGGAGGTCATAGGGCCCACTTATGCTTTAAAAGCTGACAGGAAACTGGGCCGGGGATTTAGCTCAGCGGTTTCCCTGACTGCTGTGCAAGCACAAGGTCCCGAGTTCGATCCCCGGTAACAACAACAACAAAAAAAGCTGACACGAAAAAAAAATCTCCCTCCCTCCCTTGCTTCCATGAAAACAAGCAGGCTTGACTGATAGATGAACAATTTTCTCAGATAAAAAGCTGAGCAGGAAGAGAGAGAGAGCTAGTTTACATTCATGTAATCCAAAAGGGCAACAAAAGTTTAAGAAATTCCTGGATTTCAGTGAAAAGAGGGTGAAGGTGAAACAAGCAGTGAATTAAACACACCGCACCATTGAGTTTATGATTCCATAGACACCTTGCCACCTGTTAATGACAGCTGCCACTCATGGCGCCACAGCATGTACTTTTCCACATCAAAACAAAGAAACAAAACCCCAAATATGGTTGGGTTAAAACTGGAGAAATCTTAACCCCTGTACACATGGTATGCTCTTTGCACGGCAACGTCTATTTTACTCTCTTTACTTTAGAAACAAAGGGAAACATTATTACATAATCCTGCCGTTATTGTACTATCAACTGGATAATCGTGAACATTACCTTATAACTAGCCTTCTTGAATTCATATAAAATGCAAACCTTTTAAAGAAAAATTTGAGCCATATTTGTTTTACTCGTACACTTTGCTAAACTTAACTGGCTTTAAAAATAAACTAAAATCAGTATCTCCTATAAATTTCTTACAAAATGTTACCTATGGCTGAAGTCAAAATTTTTATAACAAGAATTTTACATATACATTTAAATGATATTGAAAAATTTGTCTAACTCTCTTTAAAATCAGAAATCTTTATATTCTTGGATGCATTGTTGGATACTACTTTAAATAACTTGATTAAAAATTCCTGGCTCAACCAGCTGAAGAGGACTAGGCAGGTATTTTCAACCTACAGTATACCCGCCGCGAAGTCATGGTTCAGAGTTTCAGGCCTCAGTAGCTGGCCGGAATAATTGTTCTCAGAACCCCCCGCAATATTACGGAAACCACAAGGGGTGTGTGTGTGTGTGTGTGTGTGTGTGTGTGTGTGTGTGTGTGTGTGTGGTTTGGTGATAGCCAATCCAAGAGCCTTATTCAGTTCTTGCTGCTGCTTGGCTGCTGCCCTGTAACCCATCATAACGGGTTGCTGTACTGTGTAGCTGTCTCCAGCGCTCTCAGTTTTGTTCTTCTTAAAGTCCTAAGATCCCTAAGATGCCCCCAAAATGCCCTTCACCTTCTAAGCTTTTATTAATACAGTATTTTATTAAATTAAATTACATAACTGCAGGAGACATAGCAGATTTAAGGTTTAAACTATAAAATGGTCATTTTTCTGACCATATCTGAAATGAGTGTTTTTTCACAATTCGCGGATGCTATAAGAGCTAACCCCAGGGAATTTCAAGGTTCCCCTGTATTTGGGTCTTAATTCACTCATCTGTATAGTGAAGAAAATGATGTGTCTGAGAGTTGTAAGCAGTCACGAGCGTATAAACATGTGATAACAAAATGGAAGCTACCCAGAAATATTTCATCATGATCTTTTTATGAAACAAATGACCTTGGGCAGTTTCTGGTTACCTCCTTGTAAGTCAAGCATTCAAATTACTTTTAATGGAGAAGAAAGCAAAAGTTACTGCTAAAGCTTTAGATCATCACATGTACCTTATTATCATATTCGGAATTCACTTTCACCTCTAATTAGAAATGGTAACAGTTATCAAGAGACAAAATGAAATTGTAGTAAAGTCTGAAAAGATAACAAGGAAAGAGGCTTCTAGAATATAGTCAACAGCTAAAGCCGCCATCTACATACTGGATTAAGTTCAGTGACGTCCCATTCAAGGTATTCTGCAACATGCATCATTTGACTGATGATGTTTTCCAACTCCTGGAGAATAAAGGGAGGCGAGGAGTAGAAATAGAAGACTTGTTAATCTTTCACTTAGAGGAAACTGTTCAATATCTGTTCAATAAGCAGCTCAAAAATTAGAATGACATGATCAATTTTACATGATCATTCATGTTTACACAAAATGCTTTTAAAAGATCTTATATACTATTCAGAAAGAGGAGCTTAAATATAAATTTATCTTGTATTTTGTCTAGGAATGTTCACCACGAGAGGGCACAGCTATACAAAGAAAGGTTTTCTTCTGGAAAGCAGAGCCTCATGAAAGCAGGAACCAATGTATATTTTCACAGGAAGGAATTTTTCTAAGTCCTTGAATATCTTGACCTTTTGGCTTGAGAACAGATGTTGAAGGGTGGAAGGAAGTATTTGAGAGCAACGGAAAGGTTTATTTTTATTTTGATACACTGAGAATATCTATTGACTCTTAAAGTCATTTATTGGGATAACTCACTCTGCAAAAAGATATTCAGGGTCAAGTTTTGGAGGCTAAGTGTATATACAGTTTATTTTGTGAGTGGATGAAATTTTAGTTTGGATTTTCATATTATTCTGTTCAAAGGTAAATCGTCTGAAGAACTGCTAGTTAATAAATATGACTTGGGCCAATAAAACATTTTTGATATATATATATATTTAATACTTTAAATTTTTCATTTCTATAGACAGAAAAAATTAAACATGGCTTTATAAGACATTTTTAAAATATAGACATAATATAGCTTAAATGTAGTGTTTTAAAGTATAATTTAAAATGTAAAGAGTATAAAACTTGAAAGTATGTTAATCAAACATTATTCTACTCAAATCCCCGATATAACCTGTGTGGTCAATGTTCATAGCACAGAAAAAAATACATAGTTTATAAAAGCATTATCTGTTGGGGAGTCATGAGGTCCCTCTAAGAAACTAATGAATGCTGTACTACTTCTTTCCAGAAAAATTATAATTATAAATTCTATTTACGTATGACAACTTACCCCTGAAATAGTATAAATACAGAAGTATTTTTTAGAAAAAAAATTTAATTTTGCTAAACTGTGTGTGTACATGTGTGTGTGTTACTAATTGCTCACCTACTACTATATCTTTGCTTATAACCAGTTTAACAATCTGTGTTAGTCAAAGAGTGCTGGGATTATTTTTTAAGAGCTAAAGCTGTTTTGCACAGACTTTGATGTGACATTATATAAGTCATCTAAGGTCATGTTCATTTTCATCATCATGAAATTAACTCAAAGATTAAACATGTTCTTATGTGAAGTACGTTTATCTTATTATTTGGTATATTGCAAATGAAGAGTATTTTACTTCCAAAAAGTAAACTGCTATACATTTAAAATATTAACAGAAAAGATTTAAGAAGGTAGAATTTAAAAGTGATATTGGGGGAAATTATTGGTACAGCAAATTGGAGCAAATCCTAAATCTTAAACCCAAATATTTAAATACTGAACAAGAAAGAAGAAACATAGAAGAAAAAAAGACTCATCATAAGCAATTAAATTTATTCCCAGTTCATTGTTCACGATTTGGGAACACAGTTGTAATTAATGCTAGTGATCTATGTTTCTGATATATGTTATCAGAAAATGGCAAGAGACCAAAAAAAAATTGACTGAATTTAAAGATCAGCTGCCAACCCATGGCTTAAAGCCTAGTAAAGACACCTCATTTAAATTTAATTACAAAGAGAAATTAAATAAAACAAATCTCATTAAAATATAATTTGCATTAGTGTAATCATAAGTGTAACATGAGCATATTGAAATTATCTAGGAAAAAAAAATCTAAATTCCTAACTGTGACACAGCACCAGAAAATTAGCAAATTTGTTATGTACCTTAATATTCCTGAAAGGAAAAGTGAAGATTAGTAGGCACTTAAAAGGAATAGTATGAGAGAAATTACTGAGACTTACACATAAGAAATCTTACAATCACAACATCTAGCATGTTCCAGAAAAGCTAATATACCAATTATCCTACTCAGTGGTATGTAAACCTGTCTTCAAACTCCTCACTTTTCTTGTTATTTATTTATTGCTTTATATCTTTATTGTTTTATCATCTTGTTTTTCATGAGAGAATGGGAAATAATATTATACAGAAAATATGCTACAAATATTATACATAAATATACAAGAGATTATTGGATGGAAATTGAAATAGCCTTTAAGTCCTGGTGTGTGCAGTGGAACTGAGACTAATTTCTAATTCTCAGAAAGTTATTGATGGTTTTCATGTCTTACAAATAAAATGAACATGTAATTGTTCTTTCCAGTTAATCACATAGAAACCATATTTTTCTTCCATTTTATGACTTAAATTATAGCATGTAAGTTATCTATAAAATTGTGTGAAATATTTTAAAAATAAAAGTTTGTCAAATCAATCTATAAATATATTTAATTCAACAGTGTGTGTGACAAGAATACTTTTTTAAAATAAGCAAATAAAAAAAATTAAATTGAATTTGTAATTCCTTTACAGTATTTACTGTACTCCTAGTACTTTCCTTGGTGTCAGCTCACCAATGGTTTTTCTTTCTTTCTAAATCAATGGTCTCAACTTTACTTTATGTTTTACTCGGACAATGTTGGAGCCTTCCTTTTCTATCTAAGCTCAGCACAGAAAAAGTCATGTTTGGCAACAAAGCTATTTAATAGAACAATCATAATCCTGTCTCCTCAGACTACTTTCTCTCCAAATGTCACATGATAAAAATGCTGTGTGAGCGGTTGTAAACTATATAAAGTGTGCCTTCTGTGGTGATAGCTATATATTTATTCATTGCTTTTTTTTTTCAGAAGAAATTACTTTAAAATTCTCACAGAAAATTTGAAGGAAAAAAATTACCGAGCTGTCCAGGAAGCCATTCCCATCCGTATCATAAAGGCGAAACATAACTGGAATAAAAAGGTGTTGCAAAAAACCATGAATGAACAGGATCAAGGTTAGTTTAAAGCACATTCTTTAAAATTTCGATTCTGTTGAAAACGTATACTAATATCCTTCCCTGCTGAAGCTTATTTCATGAAGATCATTTACCAAGTCAAATTAAAAATAAATGAATGAATTAATAAAATACTGGATATCAGACCTAAGATCTCTCAAATTTTGGTTGTATATAGGAAACACTGAAATGTAATATTGTTTGCTCAAACTCTTTATATTAGATACTTAAATACAAACTCAATTTCTTTCTGCGCCCACTGGATTCATTCTGCTGGGCTTCCTAGGGTTGTGATCCTCGTTGTCTTTTCCTAGGATATTATCTAAAATTTTTTGGAGTGCTGGTGTGGTATTCATGAAGTTACTAAGGTGCTCTTTGTCATGAAAGTATCTTACATATTTCAATTTTGAAAGATAATTTTGCAGGGTACATCTATCTGGGTTGGAGACTGTTTTCCTTTAGGGGTTGAAATACATCACTCCAAGCTCTTCTTGCCTTGAGGGTTTGCATTGAGAAGTCTTCTGTGATTCTGATGGGCTTTCCTTTGTATGTGATTTATTTCTTTTCTCTCACTACTTGTAGAATTTTATTCTTCTGTTGGATTTCTGGAATCCTAACTATTATATGCCTATGTGTAGATTTTTTTTGATTAAGGTTAACTGGAGTCCTATATGCCTCACTTATATGTATGTCAAATTCTTTTCCCCTGCGTGGGAAGTTTTCTGCCATCACTTCTGTGAAAAGTTTTTTTATGTCATCTGCACTCTCTCCTGTTTCTTCATTGACTCCAATCAGTCTTATGTTATTTTTCTTTGCATCGTCTAGCAGCTGCTGGACTGATTTCAGTGGATGATATATGTGTGGTTCTATTTCTAGATTCTCTGTTTTATTCCAATGATCTATATGTCTTTCCTTATGCCATCACTGCCTTGATTACTGTAGCTTTAGAAAAAGTCTTAAAATTAGGTAATAAATGTTTTATAACACTGGTGGTTTTTTTCTTTTTACTTTTCTAGGTCTTTTGTACTCCTACATAACTTTGAAATTTCAATATCCAATTCTTCATTTATAGCAAGTATACATACACCTCAATTTTTATATATACCTTGTGTTATCTAATCCTGCTAAATTCAAATACAAGTTCTAGGGGCTCCTAGAGATTTCTTAGTATTTTCTCTGTAGATGATCACTTCATCTACATATAAAGATTTTACTTCTACCTTGCCAATCCTATCCTAATTGTGTCATTTTTTTGCCAGACTATTTTGCTTTGGGCCTATGTTTCAAAGTTTAATGGACAGATGAAGAGTAGGCACATCTGCCCTTGTTCCCCACCTTAGGGAGAAAGCATTGTATATTTTCCATTCATACAAGGTGTTTTTGCTGGAAGTATGGAATACATGGCTTATCTGTTGAGAAGGCTCTATTCTATTTCTAGTCTCCTGATAGTTTTTGCCATGAACAGCTGTAGAATTTAGTCCAATACTTTTTCTCCAACTAGTGACAGGATCATATGGCTTTTTCCTTTCCTCTGTTAAAATGATGACTGGGGTGGATCTTCTAATGCTGAACCAACACTGCCATGCCTATAACAAAACCACTTTCTGCATACTGCCAGATCTGACTTCTAGTAGTTTGTTTTGTTAAACAAATTTCTATCTATGTTCAACATTTTTCTTCCATTATCTTTATCCAGTTTTAGTATTAGCACAATGTTGATTCCTAAAATGAGGGGAGAAGGGTCTCTTCTTTTTTCTGCTTTAAATGTTTGATATAATTTATCAGTTAAATGTATATGAGCTTACTGTTGTCATACAGGTAGGTTTTCAAGCTAGAAATATACTTTCTTTAATAGGTGCTATTCCAATTTTTTATTTTCTCCAGAGTCAGTTCCATTAATTTGTCTTCCAAGGTACTTCTTAGAAGTTGTCAAATTTATTTCAAAAAAGATTTTTTAATATGCTTTCTATATCCTTTAAAATTCTGTAAAACATGTGGTACTGTCCTCTAAATTTTGATACTGTAATTTAAAAAATGTATAATTGATATTGTGTAATAGAAAGTAAAGGTCTAAAGGAGCAGGGGAAGTGGGAGGGGTAGGGGAAAGGAAAGAAGAGAAAAGAAAAAACATGAGAAAAGGAAAAAAATTGAAACAAAGACTTTGTAAATAGGGAAGGGTGGAGGGGGTGTAGGGAGGACAGGGGAAGGGGAATAAATAAGAACCAAGATACATCATGTAAAGGTACGGGATCCCAATGATGAATGTAACTCTACTGTATACCTAAAATGTACCAATATACTTAATGGAAAAAATATGAACTCAAATATAACAGAAGAGAGGTTCAAATGTTCAGAATCTTGGTAAGAAAAAATGATTTGGAGTTTTCAAAATAAATTATAACTTAGAATCCACTATTCAGTGAGTTTTGTGAAACATTGTTTTCTTACCCATAACATGAGAATGGTCTCTTTGACATGTGACACATCTTTGCAACAATAGTTAAGTGAGTTGGTAGGCACAAGTGCATGTCGCCCAACTGGAGGAGTGTAAGCCAAAGGATCCTTTTTAGATGGAAGAGGCCAGCATGTAAGTGCAGTGTTAGTATGGCTGGAGTGGCCCACATGCTTAGACCTGTGGTGAGCTTCATAAGGTAATTAATCTCCCCACTAAGAAAGGGGAAAGTGTTGACTCTATGCTACTGATCTCAGAAAAGCATGACAAAAGCCGTGACCAGCCTATAATCCGCAGACCACTGGGATGCTATGGAAGAGGCTGCAGGTGCTGCTTGGGGATAAACAGTGAAGAATGATCCAGCTGTAAAGACAGCAGAGTGGAAATAATGGTTTGTGTTGGATTTGTATCATTTCCTGGAGGATCTTGATGGTTCGGCTGTGGATTCATTCATAATTTGAATTTCCAAGAATAATAGTGCAGATCCAAGGCAATGGGATGTCAAAGGTCTATACTATTAATATAAAGACAATAGTAACTAGGAGACCTAATTATGCAGTGACCTTGATGACTAACTGTAATTATTATTCTTGTATTTAATAATTATTATATTTCACTAATCTATGATTTTTTATAACATGCAAAATTGATCTCTATGCCACTAAAAATGTTGCCAACTTAACAATGACATTTTATTTTTTGCAAAAGGCAAACAAATATTAACAGTGTTAAAATGTAAAGGAGAAGTGTATGTATTACATTAAGGGAAATAAGTGTTAGGCCAGCTCAAAGACTTAAATTTTAGTTTCACATCACAGGGACCATTCCCTTTCATATCTCAATAAGTGAAAATAAAATGCAGGACTAAATATATCTACCACAACGTGGGTACTGAGCATTTCAAGATTTTTTAAGAGAGCAGCAAATGGTAAAATATATCTTTTTAAGTAACAAGAATTCCCAGATCACTCAGAGAAGAGGTTAACACTAGAAAGAAGGCACAGGCTCACACAAGCCTGGCTGTATTGTAGAACAAGGGGCACTACCTCTTTGTTAGTCTTTGGTGGAATAAATGTCTGTAAACCTGTCTGATAGTGTTACACTCGTGTGAGCCCCGTGCCCTCAGGTAGCAAAGGAAGAGGGACATTATGAATAAAATGAAAGTCTCAATCCAAGACATAGGACTGAGAGGATCTAAGGATTCTGCTGAGAACAAAATGAGTTCTGCGTGAAGTTAAAAGTATGAGTGAAAAATTGGTTGAGAAGTCATCACAAGATGTAGACTACATGTAATGCCAGTTATGCCATGAAAGACATAAGGTCAAGTCGTGTGGAAAATAGGGAGAGAAAGAAGATCATTCAAAATTATGTCTTGGGAGTGCAACAACCAAATGCGAGTGGTTCTAGAAAGACAGAAAAAGTAAAATAAAAGGAGGTGGTAATTATAATGAAAAACATTATAGAACATAAGAAGAGACAAGGTTCTCAGCCAGAATTTATAGTGAGAATTTGAGAATTGATGAGTTATAAAAATAAAATTATCAAGTAAAAGGAAGAAGGCAGTTATTAAGTCCATGAGAAAAAAAATTGCCCTAATAACGTGAGAAAACCTTTCCATTTTAAAACTATACTAATAAATAATATTGATAAAATTAACAATTGTTCTTCAAATATTATAATAATACTATTTCTTCTTAAAATTTAAAAATGAAGGCAGGCCCCCAGGTCAAGTGAATGCTAGAATAAGTTTATCTTAGTATTAAAAATCAGTAAAAGCATATTAATGTTCTGGTGCAAAAATAAGGCCAATATTCAAATTATTCTGTTCACATGAAAGCTTCCAAATGTGGGCACCTGCTACACAGTTAAAAGGTAATTGAACCCACCTTTTTTTCTATTTTTACACTCATATAATTTCACTTTATATAGAAGCAATTATGTGCCCACACATAGATTTAATTAAAAGATCAGATCCAGGGCATATTATATAAGATACATAATTTTTTAAAATGTCTATATTTTTTAACTTCCAAAAGATTTGAAAGTTTCTGTTTTTCTTAGGGAAAAACATTCTATGTTATATTTTTTTACTTTCCCGGATAAGTTGTTCATGTGAAAATAATTCTTTTAATTCACATATTTCAGTTTTATATGTATTTCCAATATGACAATGAAAATAACAGAAGATAGCTTTTCAAAATAAAAATGGAACTTACTATATAGTCGGTCAGAAATCATACATTTTAGTCATAGCTAGAAAAACTGATGGTAAAAATAATAAGAAGTCTCTCTGGACTTCAGTTTTTTCATTGACAAACTATAGGGAAGTTGACCAAGCGCTACTTAGGGCATTTTCAGTGTGAAGTGTCAGTGTTTCTAAGGTTAAAACTGCACATAGCAATAATTTTACCATGTATGCTACTCTTCATTATCTATATATCAATTCTCTACTTCTCAAATATGTTTCTGACTATTTCTCCTTAGGGATACATTTTACAATGAAGAATGAAGTAAAGCAAATTAAGTCCTACTAGAAGATGCATAGTGTGATGTAGGCCTTAAGTGTGCACTGCACTGTGATAGAAACACACTCGGAAAGAATGCTTTAAGAAATGCGTGTTGCACTAGCAATAGCAGGATTGGAAAGGTTGACCTGTCTAACAGCACTTGCGTGTAGCTCAGAGCCAAATGAAAGACTTGCAGGAAAGGTGGGGGTCAAACTGTGGAGCCAGATCAGATTAGCAATCCCAAGTTAAGGGTTTAAATTTTACATAGTATTCAAAGGGAAACTATCAAAGTCACACTTTTTCATCCAAAGTCAGAAGAAAAACAAAAAAAGAGTAGGGATAATAGTCAACAGCAATTTAAGAAAACAAGAGAAATTCAAGAATTCACACCTCATATGTGACATGACTGTTAAATAGGTAGGGTTTTGAAAGGCCAAGCATCTAGATTACCTCTTAGTAAAAGATAAGAAACACACTGGGCTCTGAGGGCTGACAAAGCACTTTGTAAATATCTACAAGATATTCCTCTATATTTCACTTAATTTCACCCACTTCAATAGATGAGTTAATAAATTAGGTGTTTGGAGCTAAATAGGAGAGCATAACTGAAATCAAGGTTTTGGGATCAATTACTGTTTGGAATAGTGGGAGGTCAAAAGACGGCCAGCAAATTCAGCAGTAAGTGAGCTAGTGAAGGGTCGAGAATTTAAACGAACTGTATATTTCACTCAACACACATCTGTGTGCACTGATTAACTGGAAGAAATTTGTACAAGCAAATATGAGCCTAATTTTACAGTTGAAGAAAATGAGTCCTTGACAAGCTTGACAGGAGACTCAGATGGTATCAAGTAGGAGTTTAGAGTCAGTCGGTATAAATCAAGAGTCCAGATTCTTAAGAACTATGCCATGCTATATTTGAATTAAAAGTAGGACAGTGGTAAGTTAAGTGAATGTAAGCTGTGGTCCAAGTAAGATTCTAGAGTTTAAAATTTTAGAGGAAGAGTAGTTCTTGGAAATCACAAGGCTTAGGGTATTTCAATGAAAGTGTATAGCTAAAACAAAGTGAGGGTGAAGTCACAGAATTTGAGGAATGCAAGGGATAAAGAGCAATTAAAAGTGTCTCCATGATGCAGTCTTGAGGCTTAGGGTTGGGAGTACAACTCATCCTTGCTCCATGTCCTCAGCCATTCATCAGGATGGTTGGTAATTGACACCAACAAGGGGAGATAAAAATGAAATTCACACACACACACACAGATGGACACAAGCTCACACACTTTCTGAGTGTACAAAGGAGCCAGCTGGTTAATAAGCAGCTTGTACCTGAAAGCCTCAGAGTAGGCAAAGTCCTCAGAATGAAGTTTGCATTGGGTTAAGGAAAACAAGTTGAAGATATGGCTGGCTTATCATACAAAGAAAGTTCACAAGCTTTTGTTGGCACCATCTATTCAGTGGAACAAGGTTTACAGTGAACATTTTCTAATACCTGACTAAATAGATGAAAGAGGAGATAGAAAGAGGTGCAAAGAACCAAACGGATTTTAAAAACATTAATGTGAAGAAAAACCTATTGTTTTGTAAACACTGACAAAGTATTTAATTTGACTAATACCCCCTGTAAAGGAATCTTAAATACTAGCATATTCAGTAATTCTTGGAAAGGCAAACATCATTTCAGTTAAATTGTGTGTGTGTGTGTGTGTGTGTGTGTGTCTATTGGACAGAAAAAGCTGTGTAAATTAGTACTTCTCAAAATGTGGTCCTTAGACCAACAACATTAGCCTCACCTGCAATGTGTCAGAAATGCAGCTGAAAGGTTGGCTACCTGAACACCTGAACGTAAGATCCCAACTGAATGTTCATCTACAAAGTAAACTAGTGTTGGCACTTGATTACATCTACTACTGTGTTAATTGTAATTACTTTCTCTTGTTCTTCTTCTAACGTATATTGTGCTTAATATGTCATAATCCTTTGGAAGTAAGTACATACTTAAGTAAACACTGTTAAATCACTTTCAAAGTCTTACTGAGAACATTCTGGCAAATTACAGCTGTAAAATTGCATGACTATTAGAAGTTTGTGGAGTTATAGACGGGTAATCTGTATGGTAAATTGTTCAGATGTGAGAAATTGGTAGGAGAAATTGTCAGATATTGACAGTAAAGAAGAAAAAGTAAAAAAAACAAACTCCTGATGAATATGATGCCTAGCCATGGCCAGAATTACCAAGCCAAGACAGCAAGAAGAAAACTAGAGAGGGTCATCTAGTTTGAGGAGTGGGGTGAAAATCATGATAGTAATGCCAGGTTACAATGTCAGCCTATGAGAAGAATTTGAAGACATGATTCAAAAACAAGGAAATTGGTGTTATTTCACACAAGCTTACAAAAGCACTGGGAAACTCAGACAAAGAACAGAGGGAATGATGATGAAAACATCAAAGAATAGCAAACAGCAGGCTAGTTTGACTTGATTCATCAAATGTCTCCGAATGGCATATGAATTAATATGCTGCCTGCCGTTGTGGCCAAAGGCTGCATGGATTTAAGCCTCCAGCTGAAAATGAAAACTCATGCTTCTTAGGAATTCCACATTAAAAGAAAAATAATTTCATTAACAGTAAAAATGATGAAACTGCAACACTGAAGATTCTCTGGAGGAGGATGGATGGTGCCTTCATTCATTCTCAGATGTGGAAAAATATTTGTCTTTATATCTTTATAATCATCTCAAACGTGGCCCTGATAACACCTGAGCAAACTTTGTCTCTGGCTGTCGCTTCAGTGGAAATTCACTGAACAGGAATATTTATTTTGGAATGAGAGACATTTCTGTAGGTTCTTTGGAATACAAAGTAAATCTTGAAATGCAAATATTCGATATTTATGAATAATAAATATATATAAAGACTGACATTTTTATGATTTATTCATAACCTAAGCAGATGTGACTCTTAATCATTTTATGATAAATTTCTTATTGATAGGAAAACATGTCAAAATTACTATAAAGTTCACCTAAAAAGTCTCCTACATATAATTCTGAAACATCAAAATAATTAACATTTGCTTTAGAAATATTAAAAATTGGACTCATTATCTTCACTGTTATTTTAGTACCAAAATTTTGAAATTTGTTTTCATAATGTCAAAACAATTAAGTTAATGATATTATTGAATAAACTGTCAGTTTTATGTGCATAAAGAATTTTGAAGATAGAATAAACTATCCACTGATCAGAAAAAGAATAAATGAAAAATAATTTTTTGCATTGCAATGAGTATAGTTTGCCAGCAGAGCGAGCTCAATCACTGTTTTTTATTAAAGAGAATAATGGTGATGTGCTTTCAATGACATAATAATTCTCTACCTGCCACATCCTAGAAGACTCAATGGTATTGTTTAATTATTTATAGTACCCAGATTCAAGTCCTGTAAAGGAAATCTCAGCTTTGGTTTTGGAGAAACAAGTTGCCTCTGCCAAGGGGCGTGTTAGTGCTACATTTGCAAGGGAGATTTGTCTATGGGAGAATGGTGCAGGTTGTGTGTGAACAGAAATTCTGTTCAGGGATAGGAAGGCCTCTTTGCACACTAGAAATAAACTCTTTTTCCAAACAGCTAAAAGGACACATTCCAGTAGCATCTTGTTAACTCAAAAAACAAAACCAAACCCAAGGAACAAAAATTTAAAAAATCATAGCTGTGCCTGGCCTGGTGGCAACATGCAGGGACTGCCGCCATTCTGAGAGGATTGCAGGTATGAGCACTGTCTGAGGGAGTTAATAACTTAAAAAGACCTTTATTTAAAAAAAAAAGTTGCGGGGGTGAGGACAGACAGACAGAGAAAGACAGAGACAGACGGGGAGAGACTAAGAGATGAAGGGTTGGTGATATAGCTCAGTGTGAAAAGGTTGGGAAATCATGGGTAACAAATGGATATTGATATATAAATAATCACAAACTGATAGATCTTAATATCCTTTCATTTATTGACTCTCAGTAGGAAAATTAGTCTTCGTTAAGAAAAACCACTGACTAAGAATTTGGATAAACGTAATTGATGCATGTTGAGTTCGTGAATGTTCAGCCCCTCCTACTGTCCCAACCAGAATGAAAAAACTGAAGTAAGAAGTACATACACTCAAGTTTATCCTCAGGTCTTCCTCTTTCCAGGAGAGACAGGTAGCACACGATGTCTTTCAGATGGATTACTTCCGGGGAGCATGAATTTGCAGGAGAAGAGCGGGGAGGAGTAATGGCACCTTTATTCATTTTCAGACCTGGAAAAAATTATTTTATATTTTTAAAAAATGTTCACAGTGCTCTTAAACATAAAAAAAGAAAACGGATAAAACATAGAGTATGTAAATATCTGCATACTCTTCCTAGAAATAGAATAACCAAGTTCTCTGGAGCGCCAATACAGAAGAGCCATATGTATCCTACAACTCGCGGGAACAATAGAGGGTTTGGAGGTATCAGGGACAGAGGGGCTGCACTGTCATTGCTGGTTGTTAGGCTCATACACTCTGTTGTCCAGCAGGGGTCGCTACACAAATTGAATGGAACCGTTAAATTTAAAGGAATCATTCTGTTCCACTTTTCTCTGTATTAGGCAATGACAGATAAACATTGGCTGGGAAGACACAAAAACTGACCTTTCACAAAGAACTGAAGAAGAAATGTGAGTCAATTTGATTTATATATTGATAATAAGGAATCATTTATTTATTGAAAAAACCCAAGTAATTATAGCAAATGTTTGCCAGGATCATAAATAAGTCACCCTTTCTGCAATCAAGGAATTTTCCACCAGTAAAAGTGGAAAGCATAAACAAAAATCTGGATGAACATGATGGACATTTAATTAAGGGGTAAAAGCATATGTCTGTTCATTTGATTTTAAGAGAGTCCTTACTTTATCTTTACAAAAAGTTAGTTGTCCTGTTCCAAAACAAATGTGGAGAACTTAATCCTGTTCAAAACTGCTGTCACTGTTAAGCACCTGGCTGCTGATAGTCTAACTGAAACTTGGTCACAATAAAAGTTCAGCTCCGTCTTAAAGAGAAGCCTGGGAAACTAGGTCATGTGCTCCTAAGAAGGCAGGAAGATAAGCTCCAAATATACCTTGCTGCATATTTGGAAACCAAAGAGCTCTTTGGGTGGAATTGATAATGGCAGCATGGCTACTGGATTCCTACAGGATTCAGGCTACTGAAATGCAGAGAAAGAAATCCCAACCAAATACAGCTGTGCAAGTCTGTCCTTCCTTAGCATGCGTGTACCTGCCTGGACATCTCTTGGCTACTCTATTGCCTTTAATTTATAATCCCGATGGACTATTATCTCATCAGCCATCTGAAAGATATTCATCCATAACATTTAATGCTTTGTCAAACATATTAGTATAATTTTATCATTGTCAGTGTTGCTACTTAGAAAAGGCACCATTTATCAAACGTCTAATACATGGGAAAAACCATGAGAGGCTCTTAACACCTATCATCTCACGTAATTCTCACGTTAGCTTTGTGAGGTACATTGTAGTAGTCCTCTTTTACAGATGAGAAACAGCACTTTAACGCTTATTTCCCAGGAGTTTATCACCAACACAAGTCAATCCTGTTTATTCTACACCTGGGGCTATGGAGTGCGTATTTCTTCAACCCTAATAACAAGAGTAAGACAAAGAAGTTATCTTTTAGCTAGCATACATGTGTACAAACACACATCATTAGTGGGTTTCATAACTGCACAGATGTTTTCTTTTCTAACCTCCTCTATTTTTTTCTATCATATCTGAATTTATACTTAAAATTTCGTTAACTCTTTAAATTGAATTTACTAACCAATATGTCACAGTGCGATTTGAAAAACATCACTTTGCCCCCTTTCTTCATTTTTTTTTGCCAAAGTCTGGCTTATTACATCTATATAGCTCTACATTTCACATTCATTCTATGCTTGTTTATAGTTATCCATTAAAAATACACTATATTTGTTAGACGGATTTTTCTTTATAACAGAAATATCACTGTATATCTAATACAAACCAGTAGTTATTTTTATCAACCCAAAAAGTAGAGAAATGAGGATAATTCTGAGCTCTAAAATGCTCCACATACTTGCAACTAGCCAATTAAAGCTTAAGCAGCTGCAGGAACAAGAAGTTCCAATTTTTGACAAAAGACACTTTGGCACTGACCCTTGACATAACCATATTTTCCAGACTTGGAGAACACAGCATCTGAATTATGGTTGGATAAACTGTGACCTGACTCATCCTTACTCATGAGCTAATCCTCGACTCTAAGCTTCCCCTGTACACTACTGAAGTGATTTAATTAGCTCAGTTTAACTCTTTAATACAAACACTCAGGGCAAAATAAAGAAGAAGGAAAAGAACACAATATTGCTTCATTTAGTTTAAAGAAACACAAACATTTACATCTCACCTTTTCTCCACCTATAACCTACAATAAAGTGCTGCTACTTTCCCTTGTCTCCCTGTCTTTGCATTTTCCCAAATATTCTATAGTTGCAATCATGTGTGTGTGGCCTTTTCAAGTTGGCCTATTCATTTACTAATATGTAAAAAAAATTGCTCCGGATCTTTTCATAAATTGATAGCTCATTTCTTTTTAGTACAGAAAACATTAGCTTATCTGGATGTACCAGAGTTACTTTAACTGATTTTATTAAATTTTGAGGTGAATAACTGAAGAACAGGCCATAGGTTTGTTCCTGCTCCTGACCCACAAGCTCTGCCCACTTTTCTTATCCAGTGAAAATATTTCTTTATATTGTCATTTTGTTTCCTGAAACAGTCACTCTCCATAGGTTATTTTTACAACCTACTTTTCCCCTCACCTTTTTTATCCTTTCCTTAAATTTAACTGGAAATGCTTCACAGTAGTTATTTTCTTCTGCTACAGTTTATTGCCCCCCTGAAGAATAGTCCTTTTCCTTATAAGCCGTTTGTGCAAATGATGATTTAGAAGCACATGAGGTAACACATAGGGCAAACAAGAAATTACCGCTATAGCTCCTCAGTTAGATGGTAAATAGAATCTCACAGACCTCTGGGGCAGCAATAGCTTCTAATCAAGAAGTTCAAATTTTTTTCTTTTCTCTCTCTCTCTCCCCTCCCTCCCTCCCTTCCTCCCTCCCTGCCTGTCTCCCTCTCTCAGTCCCTGGTTCCTCCCTTTCTCTCTTCTCTTTTCTTTCCTTCCTTCCTTCCTTCCTTCCTTCCTTCCTTCTTTTCTTTTCCTTTTATTTTTCTTCTTCATTGCTGGGAATGGAACACAACTATTCCAGGTTAGATTTCTACCACTGAGCTACAACCCCAGCTCAAAAGGCTTAAAATCCCATGATCCATTAAGAAGGACCATTTTTACCCAGCTAATCATTGAGAAAAATTTCCCCTTGGAATTGCAACTTGAACACAAAGATAGGTACAACAAAAGATTTTGTTTCCATACAGTTGGTCATAGTTACTTCTGAAGATCTTGTGACTAATTGATGCTCTACTTGCTTCTTTGTTCATTTGTCCCAGGTATCCTACTTTAATTATTCCCCACCAAAGTGAAGCAAGTGCATAACCTCTCTGTAAATATTCCTACACACATATATATATATCTATATACGTATGCATATTTATTATGGTCTGTAATAGAGTAAAAAATTAAATGAAAAATAAGCATTGTAATTACAGTGTGTTGGGTTTATTAGGAAAAATCACTTCGTATTTTGAGAACATTTTTCTGTGTTTTCATGATGACGCATATATATGTATGTATTTAAGAACATTTCTCTCCATGTTTTAATTATGAAAATAGCATTTGTAAAATTGAATATTGCCTGCTGTGATTATTCTTTTCAAAACATTGTTTTCATTTTACTTCAATCTACTTCTTGAAGTACTAAACTTTAAAAGGTTTTGTTCTAATAGGTATCTTTAATGCCAGTCTGAAAGTTCAATTATTAGCAAATAAATTCTGAGTACATGTCAGTTTAATGCCTCTATTGCAGCTCATTTCATTTCCAAAGACTTCCATTTTAGATAATGAAAATGGTGGCATTATCTTTGCTTTTCCTTCTTCTTTTAAGATGAAAAAATGCAAAACTATTAAAATAAATTATACCTCTAAATGTGTAAAGCAATAAAAGCTACCAATTTAGTTTTTCCATTTTTAGACTATTTCAATCTACAGAAGTTTATCAGGCTTATGAAGCAGTTTTTTTTTACATAAAACAGTGATACTTCTAATATCCATACTAATAATTGTGCTGAGCTGCACAGATACCTAAGAGGAAAAGCAGGTGATACAGTATTGTCATGTATGATTCTGATGCAGGACCCCTTAACCTTGTCTTAGGAGAGAATTATAATTACTTTTATGTTCGCTTACACAAACCCTGAACAAAGTGAGATGGATTTGGTTACAAATGAACAAAACTGTGAAAGACTGATTCCTTATGACACGAAGACAGATTATGGGGTATAGTCCCTGACAGGAGACTGAGGCCAGATGCAACTCTGAGAACGTACACTGGGCTTCATCTGTATTGACATGGGCAAAACTCCTGAACAAACAATTCAAAGAGCCAGAATTGAAGAAGTGCAGCTAGTTGAGGCTGGTACTGTAGCAGCAGAACAACATTTTGGAGGAGAAATAGTAACACTGTAACAGCTCTTGGTGGCATACAGCATTTCAGCACAGTTGTCTTATTTGACCCTAACATTCCATTTTAGAGATGAGAAAATAGAAAGTCAGTTAATAAAGTGAGCTCCTCAGTCACAGTGCTGTCAATTGGGGGATTCAAGAGTTGAAGGCAGATCACCTAATTGCAAACTTTGGGGTGTCATTAAAACAGGAAAAACAGGATCTGTCTATACCATTGTCTTATACAACTCTCTGCAGTGGTGGAAATGGTCCAAATATGCACTTGTTCAATTCAAGAGCATTCATCACACAAGGCTGTTGGCCATGTGAAACATCTCTTGTGTGACTAAGAAGTGGAATTCCGTTTTATTTATTTTTTAATGAATTTAAATTTAAGTAGCTACATGAAGCAAATGGCTCCTATATCAGACTATTTTGGCCGTATCCTGTCTGCAGGTAGAAAATTGAGAGTCGGATGAATTTCTCTCAGTGACATGAATATATCTAAGTATGAGAAAAAAAAAGTAAACCTCCATGTATTAAATAGGCCATAATTCCAAATTGCCCATATTTCTCACAATGAAAAGAAATCATAGTGATACTCCTTAAATTGTCTCTATTATTTCAGAATAGATGGCATCCTAGATAAAACCTAAGGTGAATTTCATCTTTATGTGATATATGGATCAAAAACACTATTAGCTGCCACCTGCCACACAAACACAAGGTCAGGAGTTCAATCCCCAGTACCAAAAAATGTAAAAAAACAACAATAACAACAACAACAACACTGTAATAGAGTCTGTTTAATAAATAGTAATAAGGGTGGGTATTTATTGAGGATTTATAGTGTATCTAATTCTATGTATTTTAAATGATTTATATATGTAAAAATTTTTACTTTCACTATTCTCAGTGAATTAGATACACTTATTTCTATTTTGCATTTAAAAAATAAAGGCAAAGAAAAACTTCACAGGTACAATTTAAGGGGCAGTTTGAATGAGAGTATTACATTACAAGCATGATTCTGTTGGAGTAGAGCAGAAAGACAAAAATAAATCAGAGAATCTGCCTCTTGCATGTCAATAAAGTGACCTTTACTATGAGAGGGATACTGATGAATTAATAAAATTTTGGAAAAAAATTAGAAATCTCACCCATAGTAAACAGCTCTAAATTTTCACTTTCCATTCAGCCAATGCCTTGGGCTATTCATTAGAAACATGTCTGTGCCTGAGCATGACTACGTGTGATTCTGCATGGTCAAACATACTGGTATTTGCCAAATGTTAACAGAAATTGTTTGTAGTGAAATGGATTATGAATATTTTTATTGCCTATCTCTTTGTTATATAACTGGCATGCCCGTTCTAAACATATATTGGAATGAATATTTGGGACCTTTAGCACTCGTTATGTAAAACCAGATCCTAGGTACTGAGACTACATCAATGAACAAAGCAGATAAAAAATTTCATTTCCATAGAGCTTTAATTCTAGCTGAAAAAAGGAAATTCTCAACATCATTGTATATTTTCTAGTTGCTACTAGTTTTACAGTGTATCATAGATTACATAGTTACACTGTCATTGTTAGAATATCACAGGTGTTCATAAATATTATTGAACATGAAAGTGCATAAATACTAATAATATTGTTTAATTGGCAATAATTAAGATATGACTGAAATTTTTTTTAAAATCCTTTATTTTCAGTGAATAAATTTAATGGTAAAATTTGAAAAATTGCATATCATAATTTACAAGTACTATTCAAGTGAAAGATTAAAGATACCTGTATATCCAAGTCCAATGTATTAAAAGTCATTTAATAATTGAAAGGGAGACTTGAGGAGAACTTTTTCTTTACTAAGAGTAATTTTATCATGAACAGGACCTTGTAGTTGTGAGGTTTTTCTGATTGTTGCATAAAATATTTGTTGAAGTAAAGTAATGTTTGGATTACAGCTACTACTACTACTACTACTACTACTACTAATAATAATAATCATTAAAATTATCAATAGGACACTATAGAGGTGTAAGAAATATGATGGTTGAAAAAATAAATGTCATTAATCCAGTAGATAAAAAGCCTTTTGTCTTTATTTCTAGAATATTTTTGTGTTGGTATGTAAGTTTATTGCACTGATAAGTATGTCAGCATTAATGAATGTACCGATACAATTTAAATTCTGATTCAATGCAAGAAATCTCCTTGTCTTATAATCACATAAACCCTGTAGTCTCAAATTGCATGTTTGGGAACCCTGGACAAATTAATAAAGTAGCATGACTGACTCATCCCCACATGGTCTTGACTACTTCTCTCTCCTCTCCTGCTATTCTCCTCCATTCACTCCATCTGCAGCAGCCCAGCAGATGTTAAGGCATAGACCCAGACCCCTCAGTACTACTAATAACCCTACCTTCTTCTGAACTCTGAAAGTCCTCTGTTAATGTCGCTCAGGTCTGTGTGGAGTGGCCTAGCCCAGATGGAGAGGGACAGGGTTGTAACCAGAAGCAGATGGGATGTCTTACAAGGGCACTATGGATTCTAGGAAGAGGCTTTCCCTAGATTGTCATTTTAGAGGTCAAGAATTCCTAATTTGGAACTTACCACATGCTATTTAGTTAGAGTGAAACTTTAATGAGCCTTTAAGGAAGAGTTGAGTTCTGCTGTAATGACAAAGGAAGAAGAAATATCATGCAGAAAGTACTCTTAAGCGAACAGAGAAGATTTAAGCATAGCAGGGAGCTGAATATGAAAGAATACTGGAGTACATAAGGGAGAGAGTTAAAGCAGGAGAGCTATAGACAATCTCTATAACCTACACAATATTATCCTTCATGCTATTGAGTAAGATTTTGTCATCTTGGGGGAGGGTGTCTCAAAAGATGAGTAACCAGGGTTCCATGTGTTCATCTCCTTTTCTATATACTTCCTTTACTAAAGCAACCCTAATGGGATCAAACACTACAATAGTGGACAGGGAAAACTTGAAATGTGGAAAACTAGGAATAATATGAAGTTTTTGTTAAAAAGAATATTTCAGGGCTGGGACTTAGCTCAGTGGTTCCGGCGCCTGCCTTGCAAGTGCAAGGTCCCAAGTTCAATCCCCAGTACCAAAAAAAAAAGAATATTTCGAAGATTAAACTCAGTACTTAGCTGGGAGACACACTAATAGATCAAGATACAAACAAGGATGAATTAAACTGTAACCCTGCAAGAATGATTCATTAAAAGTGGTCATCATGAGTAATAGATGGCATTTTGTGGCTAACTCAATATGAGGAGGAGTAAGGCAGTGGAGGGTAGGAAGAATTCCATATTTTAGTATTGAGGAAAGGATAGATTCTTGGGGACCATCCACCCTGAGAGAAAACACCAATACAGCAGGTTTGGGTAGGATATAATTAGCTTTCAGGCACAGTGACTTCGATATCTCATAGGATCCCTAGAGAACAAGCTCCATCTGGAATATAGTAAATATGCATTCTTGGTGAGCTGAAGAAACAGTTCTGGGTTGTTTCAGGAGTCATTGAGGAATTTTACCCATGACAGTGTCTTTTATGTGATGTGGAGAAACGTTTTGAGACTGAGGGGAAATTTCTGAATAAACTGAAGAAAATCTGAAATATTAAGAAAATTGATCTATGGGAATGTACCAATAATACCCAACATCTACAAAAACTAATTTTAAATTAAATGAATAAATGGTAGCAGCAATATTCATATGTATGAAAATTCTCTCTGGTAAGTGTTCAACACGTAATGACTCTAATCTAAGATCATAAATCCATGCAGGGTTGGGAGTTTGTGAGTCACTTGCAGAAAAAAAAAAAGTTCTGTTTGATTTAAAATATCTATAAAGGGAGTGATCCAAGTGATAGACTCTTAGGGTGGAAAAAGATCAGAAATTGTTCACTGGCCTGACAGAATAATTAAATTATGAACGTGATATTTAAAAGGAGACAGAAGAGGTATGAGAAAGTTGAAAAGATACGATGCTAGAAACATCTTCAAATATGAAAAGTTCAAGATGGAATCAGTACAATTATCATCTTATATTTAAGTAGGTTATGAGAGGAACTTATGTGGCAAAAAGTACTTTGCAAAGCAATGGATCCATTTAATGAAATGTCAGAGGGTTGATTAGATATTCCAAGTCAAAGTAAACAGCTGTACAATGCACACACACACGCACACACACATCCACATCCACATACAAATGATCATTACATCTAGTTTTTGAAGTTATTGTTATAGTTTATTTTTATCAGCATTGTAATGTGTTAACTGTAACTGTTTTTAGATTGTCTCACCATTAATGTAGTACATATCCATAGATATCACACAAAGAAAGTTTTAATAATTCAAAAGTTTCCTGATATCTAAGAGTGAGAAACACTACAATAAGACTACATTTCTCCATGGTCATCTGGATTTCTGTTGGGTCCAGAAGTGCCCTACATAGAGGTGAGAAGCAGGAGGAATGAGATGGGAAAAGTGCCTGCCAACAACTCACTCTTTGTGTTGAATCTCCTCAGCATTTCATCTCCATTGGAACAGTCTCTTGTCTTCAGCTTATTTCTCACTAATCAAGACACAATGAGCTTCCCGTTTCATGATTCTACACAGGCTGTGGAGATGTACCCTCAGGAGAACTCTGTTGTCCTGGTCTTTCTTTGACGATCTGATCTACAAAAGCCCACCAGGAAATACTCCCTCTATGGACACCCCAGGCCCCCACCTGCCCAGCAGTGTTTCCGTCTCAGAATTGTGTCCCCACTCCAAGAGGTCCTTCCTCCAGGCTTTAGGATTTTGATTACTCCAACCTAAAAGGAGCACAGGCATCCTGTGGGTCTATCTACTTTCCCATCATGTCTTCTCTTTGCTTCATCAATCCAGCAATACCATCTCTTACTGTGTGCGTTATTTTGTGTAAACAGAGAAATTTGTTTTCCAGATAGGATGGAGAGTGATAGAATTAGCAAAGGGCAATAATGTACTCATACGCCTCAAAAAGCAACCCTAATAAGAGAAAAAACATTAAAAAAAAACATTTAATTATCTATGAGAAAAAATATCAAAACTCTGTTCTGAGTTTACAAATCCAAAGGGTAAAAATTTGGTGACAAAGGCCATGATTGATTTTAAATGCGTCTTTTATTCCATGACTGTTCTGTGTCTACATTTTCATATGTAAAAGTGTATACAAATATAGTATCCATATTTCTCCAATCATTTAAAAATAATACTTTTCAAAAACTTTTCTAAATATAATGGAAGTATTTCTTAAAATTATGACCCAAACGTGAACAAAAAAAGACAAGTGGTAAATAATGAAAAACTATATTATTTCTAGCTTTACTATTATTAAATTGATGGCATTTTAAATGATTTACACTATCACAGTGTGAAAGTATGTATCTTGCAAAAAGGACAATTTTTAATCAAGTTGTCATTTCTTTTTCATGAGCACTTGATATTGATTTAGCTTTTGAGAGTTTTATTCTCTATCACATTTGACAGTAAATAAACTTACCACCTGAAAGGAGAGCAGGCTTACTTTTTACCATTGGACTAGCATGAGGAAACTTGTTGCTAAATGACAGGAAAAGGTGTGCAGTGAAATCATCGGGAAGCTCGGCTTCCAGAAATGTCTTCATGAATAGCTTGAAACCTTCAAAATCTATTGTCTGAAAAAAAAATTAAGCATACATTTTAGGATCCAGGAAAGTATTTCAATTTTGCACATGTTCAAAATTATTGGTAGAGAAATTACTTTGAATATTTATATATCCAAGTTTATAAAATGAATATCCTGATTTGAGAAATACATTAGGAAGTTTTATGCTAACTTTGATATAGCTGGAAGGAAAGAAATTATTTCCACTTAGATACTTCTCTTTCCATGGTATATGTATGACTTTAATGATTAGTTCTTTGAAACTTACTTTCCTTCTCTATAATCTGGGGCAGTTATTTCCATTCCCAACTGAGTTGTGGTGATTAAGTCCAGGTGATTAATATGAACAAACCAATGCAGTGTCTTGCATTCATACCAAAGGTACACACACAAGAAATGCATTTCTCATCTCCTTTCCTCCTCAATAATGCTGACCATTGCTTTTGACAATTACAAAAACTGGATAATATTAATATTTCAGCTATACACCAAGACCAACTGATGCTGTAATGTTCTAAAAGTTTATGAGCAGACTTTTCAAGAAACATTTCAAGATGCTTCCACAGCCTTCTTCATGACAGAACCAATAGGTTAAATATTCATTTGTGGATAATTTGTGTGACTCAGAGAAACTCCATAGCCACATAGGGGAAAGGTGATGGGAATCGCCTTCTCATCTCAAGGCTTAATGATAGGGTTTCACAGCAGCTACCAGAGAGCTTGCTTTCTTCCAGCAGAGGAGAACAATGGACTAGGGTTTGCCTTTGCTGTGCAAACTGTGAACCTGCCTGTGGATGAATGGTATTGGAGTGAACTTGGCCAAAACTCTCATGACTGAATGTTTAATGATGTGTGGGTGTTTTCTGGGAAACAGATGTAGACCATGCAGAAGAGAAGATTTGGAGATTTGTCTTAGTGCCTTGAGATGACTAGTAGACATACAGAGGAAAAGGTAGCATAAAGATGTATTAGTCAAGAGCAAAAGGAAGCGTAGACCTCATAGGAGCCCTAGAGGGGCCATGATGTTTTTATTCAATTTCATTTACTGAGATGAATCTGAGACAAAAATGAAACTTGACAAGCTGAAGTGTTTAGTTTTGTTCAAACTCCTGGTAAGTGATAATAAAATTAATTATTTAAACTGTTATTTTACAATTAGTCTATTTTTCCATGTAATAATATTGGAGGAAGGTGGTAAAGAATGATTATAATCAATTTTGATTATTTCATACTTATTGTACTGTTATTATATTATTTTGAATAGGCCTGATTTGGAAAATGGCCTTCAAATATTTCAGGAGAGAAAATACATTTTTGAAGATTGGATTATGAGCTAATTAGCATATTTACTGGAATTTCTTTATTTTTTACTTAATATAAATGCAAGCAAAAAAATCAAAAGCTTCACTTTTTAATAATTTCAAGAATGCCTATACCTCAATTTGACATTTTCAGTTTTATTATGTTTCCTTTGCTTTTTTATTTTTAGAAATGAGATATTTTATATTAGTGGTATAGAAAAACCTTTCATTTTATTCTAAATTTAATAAATCATCAGTACCACAGAATATTATAAAATCTACTAGTAAAGTAAATTATATAACTAAACCTTTGAATAATATGAAAATATGAAGAATAGCTTTGGATAGAAATACTTTCAAAGAGTAATTTACCACAGTGTATGCAGTTAACATTTCAAAATACAAAGCTGAGCCAACAATCAGACAACTGTATTTTACCAAGTTTTGAGAGGAAGCTACCTCTTCCTAATGGGATTTCTTAGAGGTCTCATAATCCACAGTCAGTTGGATGAGTGACCAACATCGGTGGATAATCCTCAACACGGATGAACCCTGAATTCACTGTACTGCAAAGCTAAGGGGCATTTGTAGAAGAAAATATTTATCGGCACGGTGATCAGAAGCAAGATTACTTATGGTATAGCTTCCTCTGTGTCCTTTCTTAGTCAGTGTTTTTTTTTAGAACCAAACAGATGATGAAGAGCAGAGCAACAGAGAGCCCCCTGAGTAACAGAGAGCAGGGACAGTATTTGCTTTATTAAGAAAAACATGTAACAAATCTCAATTGTGTGCCTTACACATCCATGAAGAATCATACCGAGATCAATCCCTGTGATTTAACCATGAAAACCAGAAAAATATTCAATAGGCAAACAGGAACGGAACTCTCTAGCATCCCTGCCAGTGTCCTAAGGAGTAGCACATGTTCTTCCTGGACCCCCTTCTCAGCTCTCAGGAAGACTTCCTCAGCTGTCCCAAGAGTCTCAGTCCTCTCCAGACTAACAAGCAAAAATATTCTGTTTGCTTTTATTTTCTGATGTCTCGAGGCCTTAATTCCCTCTGTATAAAATGATGTATGGGATGCACAGTTCCGAGTTGTTGTCTAAATGTAATACAAATTGGTATAAGCACTTAACATACACTTGAGCACATAATATGAAAATTTGTAGAATAAAAAGAGAAGTTAGTAAAAGGAGGCACTGCCTAGAGGTTAGATGGATTTTTTTATATCTTAACTTGCCTTTTTATTGATCCAGAGCACTAAAATTCACTGCATCTTCCCAAATTACAACTTCACACTTTGTCTTAGATACTTTGCTATAACTGCTCTGCATTAGGCAACATTGATGAATTACTGTGTTCAGAAAGCAGGAATATAAAAATGGGTACCTTACTCTTATATGAAATCCTGTTACAGATATGATAAATGAATAAGAATTTTCTTAGTTCTCAAATGATTTCCACATGATGTCATATTATTTATTGCTAAAGTGTTATTGACAGTAGATAACTTTCGTCCCAATTTCTTTACTGTGATCTTGAGAGTAAATCTTTTCTTGCGTTTTCTAGTATCATACATGACTTAAAATATTGCAAAACACAAACTTCTTTACATCCCAACTAGCTAAATCAGTATTTTCCAATCCATTGAGGAATTGTTCTTCCATCTTTTTCCTGAGTAACTCATCTCCTTTCTTCTCATTTGTAAAAGATTATTGAAAACTTCCTAAAATTCTAAGTTGAACAAAATGATTAGATATTTCTGATTAATAGAACATGTCTTCAATTTATACAGTTTTTCTTATCTCATGACTCAATGGAAATTGTCCAAAATTAAGTATCAGTTTTTACTGTTGTCACAAAAAGTGGTTTTTGAAGATGGACGGACTTCAAAAAGAATGAAATCACATATATACATATCAATGGAAATAGTAATGAGAAAAACTGGGAAAGATTTAATTGAATTGAATATTTAAAAATTGAATTGGCTGTAAGCTCAGACACACATGTATACAATGGTTAATATTTTAAAACCTCTCTCTATTTTTTTTCCTATAGGAGCAGCACCGCCTTTTCAGGGCGATAACATAGAAAATCTGCAAAGAACACAAAATGAGAGAGCTGCTCAGATATTGTTGCCAAAATGGCACAAATCCAAAACACATTTCTATATGATTTTCTTTATTATATCAGACCATCTGGGTCCTTTCATTTAAATTCCTTATAATAGTAAGGATGCAACACTAGTATTCATCCACTCACCCCTAGTAGATTTAAAATAAATGAAAATAAATGTTGTTGCTTCACCGTTAATTTCTCTTGGCAGTTTTGGACTGGAGATTTCTCATAGTCCACAAATGGTTGTTAAGTACCCACTCTGCACCAGGCTCTTTTCTAGGTGTTAGAGTAAAGATGTTATTGGAATGGACAAAAATCTTCCCATCAAGGAGCTAATCTTCTAATGAAGGGAATAAGGAAAGAGAAAAATAAAGTATTCTATTTACCATGTCAGACACTATTAAGTGTAACAGAATAAATGAAGGAGGGCAATACATATTGGGAAGGATATGCTTTCAGTTTAAAATCTGATTGTAAGAAAATGAGATAATATTCTCTCAGCAAAAATTTAAAAGGAATGAGAGAAAAAATTCTAAAAGTGATCAGAGAGAAAGAACATTCTGGGAAGACAAAACAGCTAGTGCAATTGCACTGAGGTATAAAGGTTCTTGTCTCAGACATAAATGTCAATAGGATCCCTGCAAGAACAGGGAGACTGAAGCAAGAAGGAGGGTTCGGAGAAAATGCCGCTGAGATTTTAGAGCTGTGTGGATTGCGGCAGAATATGTAGTACTTTAAATTATCTAAGGACAGTTACACCGTGGAGTGGAAGAAGCAATCATTGGAGGGTGTCAGCAGGAATCTCGTGATCTGACTCATTTTAACAGGATCATATGACCATAATGCCACTCTTTTATAAAAGACAAAATAAGGTTCATATTAAGTTTGTACATTTTTCTAGCGAACTTTTTTGTGTTAAGGTCCACTCATTAATTAGTTAATATGTATCACTGAACTATTATAGGTTAAGTAAATGAAACTCCAAAATGAGTACTGACTTTTATTCATCTCCCAACAAGTGCTGGTTAAGATACCATGTTAATTACTAGAAAAAGAACTCTGGTGAAATGAAGTAGGTAATGTTTTAAATTAGTCAGAGGTTTTCTTTCACTCTTTATTTTTCAATTTTACTCTTTAATTTACAAGATTAATTAATTATGTAAGTCTGAAAACTGATACAAATATCATTGAGCCAAAGAATATATGTTAAATGTGTAACATGGCTGCTGATTTCAAGCATATATTATTTATATTAAAACACTTTTGAAAAAAAATTTCTTTCGTATCTTATGCGTGAACTGAAATTAATGTTAATTACACACAAATACAGAGAGCTCCTCAATAGTCACCTAAAGCTGTCATTTGGTAAATTCCTGTAAAGAAAACATGTAAAAAATGTTTTCAAAAATCCCAACACTTTTAATTTTTAAATTAGCTTTAGTAAATGAAGCATGTTTTACTATCTCCATAGCATATAATGCACAAGACAAGCACTGTCTATAATTAATTCTGCTTAAGACTATCATTTATTAAGACTCAGTAGAGAGAAAATTAGGAATGACCTTTTTTAGTAAAGTATTATACATGGCAA